AAATAAATATTGGATACAGGTTTTGAAACGGCACGAGGGTGAGAAAATTGTTTTAAAGTTAAGTTCGATATTGTTACACTGCTAATATTTTTGATAAATTGCTTGTCTTTTCTTATTTGTACGTTGATTTGGATAAGTGTCTGCTAAATGGTTAAATGTACTAGATAATTCTGTTTCAAATGGCATAATTTGAATTTTGCATTTATTTGTTTTGTTGGCAACTTTTATCCACTTTCTATCTCTAAATTACTGATTCAAAGTTCCTTTATGAATCTAGTTCTAAAAAGAAAATGTGTATATGGGCAGAGGAGGGAGGCCAGAATAATTATTGTAAGGAGTGCAGCATGTGGCTGTGTATGCACTTGGTGCTTTGATCTCATCATCTTAGTTATAAGAACGTGCTCCTCCCGAACTTTCATTAGGAACATTTTGTTTTATTCACCTGGGCTAATCTACTCACTTGAAGAGCTCTTTCTAAGTATTTGTTTATTTATTTTCCATAATTGAAAAACGCATTAAAACGCGACGATTGGCTTTAGTTTTTTTACGGCACCTACACTGGTATGCAGTTTTTCTATGCTATATTGATCGTTAAAGCGAGTGACTAATCATGTAAAACATGTTAAAGAAAGCCTCTGGTCAAAGAAAATGGGGGTGAATCACTGGCTGACTCTTTAGATGGGGAATCCACAATATGATTCACAGATCAAACTAACTGCTCCCTTGTGCTCTCTCAGCCACCGTTTGCCTCTCTTACTTGCACTCTCTTTTTTAGAGTTGTGTAGTTTACTGTACATTGTTGCCGAGGTCATAAGGGGTTGAAAAATCAAAAAAGCACCTGACATCAAACAGTCTAGATTTCACATTTTACTCTCTGTAATTTTGAAGCTACAGATCAGTTCATTTAAACATCTGACTTTTTTTTCCTAAATGGAAATGGATGTTCTCTATCAGTTGCTCTGGCTGGTGAGGTCAGTCTTACCTAGCATAATACTTTCCATCATAACACAACACAGTCACTGCTTTGAAAATAGAACAAAAATATATATATCATCAGGATCTCACCTACAATGGAATTACATTTTATAGTTCCTGTTTTAGGAAATGGGTTCATTTTTTTAACTTTTGCAATTTTGCAACTCTGTTCATTTTTAAATACAGTTTAAAATGTTAGTTTATTTGATTTGTTATTTTTTAACAATATACATTCAAGTAAAATGCACAACATTTATAAAACTATCCCAGAATTGGTAAAAGGGTTGCAAATTTAGCTTAAATTAAGCTGTCACTCAGTAGGGCTAGCTTGTGTGGGATCAACTGTTTGTATTTCCCTTAAGTTAAAAGAAAAAAAAATTGTTTGATCCAGTAACCATTTAGTCATTATTATTGCCCATTTGTGGTCATTCAGAAAGTGACAGACATCTTGAAAGTGCCTTGGTTAACGGTCAGCCAGTGCAGCGGCTAGTCCAGTGATTCACAGTCTTGGGGCAGCACCGTCAAACAATATCATTTACCCCAGCTCAGAGTCTTGCTGTCGGCAAGCTCTCAGACTCAGACCCAGTATATTATATGTTAATAAGGGATGGCCCCTTCCACTCATCCACAGAGGATCCCGTTTAAAGACTCTTCGCTGAGACTCTCAAGCATTATGCGAAAGAGATCGAGATGAATCATGCTTTCTTACATGTGGGGAAAGACGATGTTGAAACCTCTCAAGTCAGTTGCTGCTATATTGCGATATATTGCACAGTAGCTTCCCGTATTTCACTGAGTCAGATGCATCGCTAATATCGACAGAGCTCAGGTCTCAGTTTAGACATTTACTCCCTCAATATGTTGTTGAGATTTGTACTTTGTGCTGTGTTATATTATTCACAGTAATGGGAATGGAACGACTTGTGAGTCCAGAGTTTTGGATGCTCTGTCGTGAGGTGACTTGCTTTCCAAACTGGTCCAAACGTTGAACAAAGAGAGCACGCATTGAAACTGCAGCGTGTATGTGTGTGTGTTTGAATGAACATGAGACACTACAGTGTTCTTTTGTGTCACACAAAATGGAAAAAGTGAGAAAAGAAAGCTTTTGATCTAGGAGTAGACAGGAAAATAACCTTTTAAAATAGGAAAGTCCTCTTCAAAGTAGAGTAAATACCGTGGCAGATGACATTTTAGACTTCTCGAAAAAACGGTACCCTTAAAAATCTGCCAATACCACAGGCACACCACAGACGCTGATTAAATAGCTGTCTGGATTTATTGACTGACTGTGTACTGACATACTTTTTTTAGTTTTGTTTTTTCTCTCTTTACCAGATGTTTAGGTGTGCGTGTTTAATGCTCCATGGCAATCGCTAAATTAAACCATATTGTGCCATTAACCCTTTTTTTTTCAAATTTCAAATAATTTTTATTTCATTATTGCTTTTAAAAGTATCTTCAAAAGTTAGTTGTGTATGGCACATTTAGTGGAATTTGCGCTATAATTCATTTATTTTGTTTAATATGTCTTAAACACCTTTGATGAGAGTTGCAAATGATTGTATAAAGTCTGCAGAAGACGCTGACATTTATATTTACTCAGTATGTTTCAATTGTATCAGTCTTCTACAATGTGTGTGAGGTTGTACAGTGCAGGTTTGTGCAGTGTGTGTGTGAGTGAGATTGTTAGATTGTTTGTGCGGCGTGAGAGGTAGACAGCACGTCGAGTGGCTTTTAAAGCAGAACTCACAATCAGCCCAGTGCAGGTCTGCATGTGTGAAGTGTGTTCATGCAAGAGGAAGAGCCGCCTACGCCAACAGGATGATCTGTGACAGCGGCTGGGCATTTGAAACACAACACACACACTCAGACATGCAACTTTCACACAAACCCATCACAAAATAATAACATCAACCACATGAGAAATGTACCAAAACAGCGCTAAACTTCGAACACAGCATAAACCTAATCAACATGAATAAAAACACTAATAAAAGACTGCGCACAAAGCAACAAAAGATATAATCTTCAGTAAACTCAAATAACTACAATACTTATGCAGATGTGACACGCTTAACCTGAGCGATACTAATGTGACGGCGCTATAGTTAGTTCTCGTGACATTTTAGATTTTTTAAACACCAAAGAGTCGTGTGTAAGCAATCACAAACATCAGTAGCGTTACATACTAAAGCACACTACACAACTGCTTTAAATATTCACCCTACATAAGGACTATTTATAATAGTAGATGATCATTATTTTGATTTACCGAGCAGATCAGCACTGTCCCTTATATGGTGTTCTGCCACTTTTTTGTAACACCCTCTGCCATATTTCACATTTAAACGCACATATTCTTTCATTTACCTTTAATGCTATTTTTATCACCAACCCCAGCTCTCTGCCTTTTGATGTCTTTTTACCAAATGACTGTTTATGCCGTTATATACGTCTACTTAAGCTTGGCTCTAATCCTGTGTTGGCAATATTTGTTCACTATGACTGAGCTCACCTTTTTTTAGTTCTGTTGGAAAATGTGGTGAAACATGGTCCATCCCAGTCAGTCATGGTTTGTCTGGATAAGGAATGCAGGGATTATTAACTCGCTTGCAGAGGCAGGCTCCCAAATGAATGATACCTGAGGCCCCCTTCAACAGTCAAGCCTGTTTATCTGCTCCTCGGCTTTTCCCTCAGATTTGTCATCGCCTTTTATAGATGTGTTTTTTACTCCGATCACAAGCTTGGAAATCTGGTGATTGAATGTTGTGGTGAGTGTGTCAAAACTCGCCATCTCTCCTAAGGAACAATCATTTTTTCCACAAAGTAATGAACCGTATTTGCCCTAGTTCTCTCTCTCTCTCTCTCTCTCTGTTGTTTTTTTTCCCCCCCATATATATAGGATGAACTTTTGTATTATGATTGTCGTTGACTGATTTTGTCATGGCAGCAATATCGTCGTGCTTGCTAAAACAAGACGTTATATGCTATATGAGAAAATCCACTATCCAGTAGAGCATGTGGAGATATGGTCACATTTTCATTGCATTAATCAGAACCCTGCTGGGACAAACTGCTGCTTGCTTAACATCAGTCTCGCTGCCTGCTAAAGTAATTACCACAGTTGCTCCACTGTCTTCTGGGATGGAACATGTGTTTTAACAATGGATAAATTTTATACAGGCATTTCATAGTGCTCTAAAAGCCCAAGCCAAACAGGCGAGAGGAAACGTAATCAAAGGCCATTAAACTCATAATGAACTGATGCAACTGCCTGCACTAAAGCCTAGTAGTAAAAGAAACGGAGGATGGTTTTATAGCCTGTGTTGTGGTCATCTTAATGAGACTGCTGCTGTCAGAACTTACATCCTCACGCACACAGACCCACATTCGCACACAACTGTTTTCTGAGTAGTCGCATACCAAAGTTCTTTTTTTTTCTACCCCCTTTTATTTGTGTTTTATTTCTATCAGCCCTCAAGGATGATGTCTGTACTCGACTTTACATAGCTCAACACTGCCTTTCTGTGGTTAGGTGCAGAAATGTTTTTTAGAATCCTCAGTATGAACTTGAAAAAGCTCATACTACCGTTCAAAAGTTTGGGGTAGTAAGATTTTTTTTTTTTTTTTTTTTTTAAGAAATTAATGCTTCTATTCAGAAAGGACATGTTCTATTTCAAATAAGTTCCTTTAAACTTTATCAAAGAATCCTGAAAAAATGTATCTCAGTTTACTCAAAAATATTAAGAAATGTTTCTTGAGCAGCACCAGATCAGCATATTAGAATGATTTATCATTTGACACTACAGACTGGAGTAATGATGCTGAAAATTCAGCTTTGACATCACAGAAATAAATGACATTAAAAGTTCAAATGAAAAGTTTAAATTGTAATAATATTTTACAGCCTTAGTAGTGAGACTTCTTTCAAAAACAAAACAAAATCAAACTTTTGAACGGTAGTGTACCACCACGGTAGTGTTTTTTCACTAAATGTAAATAATGTCTCTTTTTGTGTCTTTCAGTGAATGAGATCATAGGCAGAGACATGTCTCAGGCCCCAGGGGCTCATGGGGGCTCTCCATCTGCACACAGTCAGTCCTAGCCCACAACACACCACGTCAGACTCGACACAGAGACTCTTCACAGGACTCCAGAGCTGGCCGGCGAGATTCCACCCAGAGTTTTAACCCAATAGGCTAAAAACCACCTTCCCCAGCGTGGATCCAGAAGCAATTTAAACAACTGTTATTACTTACTCTTGATTCATGAACACAGCTATACACTGTATGCAAAATCAGGTGTACTTTACACATGTGCAGACATGGTTGAGTGGGAGTAAACTTGGATTCATTCTCTTGGAAATAAAACCAATAATTCAGGGCTCTCTGACAGCATGATGTATTATTATTTGCGGCTTGCAGATTCACCCCTCAGATTGGCTAGCTATGCAGTCGAGCACCCTCGTCCCTGACCGGAATATGCAGCAATTCTACAGTCACCTTAGTGGGATAGCCGAGGGCTGCTCGAGAACCGTGATAGATGCCCACGTTTCGCCGCCTTACCAGCTGAAACGCCGCCTTTTTCAGTACACATTCTCCCAGTGCTGCCCTCTAGTGGACGGGCCCTCAGGCGCTGCACTGAGTCTGTAGTAATAATATGCAACATTCCACATGTCTTGTGACCTTTCTGAGCTGTGTAGATAATGTTTAATGATTGGCCCATTTCCTCTTCAGGTTGAACAAATGCCTTATATAGTAGCTGTGATCGTTAACAGGTTTTCTGCTGAGAATTTATATTAGTTTTTTCTTCTTTCTTTTTTTGAATGAGGACATGGTTAAATCCAGTGTGTGTATTTTATACTTAGAAGTAGCTGAGCTTCATCTTGTGTTCTGGAGTGCTGTGAATTGTGTTAGTCCAATCTTACTTTCACAGTGCTGTGCTTTAAAAGTCAAAGGAATTGTTCTTAGGCTCTAAAGATAACACGTTTTGTACAGTTGATGGGAAGATGAACTCATGACCTTAGACCAAAAGGTCTGAAGAGAATTAAGTCCACATATATATATATATATATATGTATGTATACCGGTATATATATGTATATATGTATATACAGGTCCTTCTCAAAAAATTAGCATATTGTGATAAAGTTCATTATTTTCCATAATGTAATGATAAAAATTAAACTTTCATATATTTTAGATTCATTGCATACCAACTGAAATATTTCAGGTCTTTTATTGTTTTAATACTGATGATTTTGGCATACAGTTCATGAAAACCCAAAATTCCTGTCTCAAAAAATTAGCATATCTTGAAAAGGGTCTCTAAACAAGCTATTAACCTAATCATCTGAATAAACTAATTAACTCTAAACACCTGCAAAAGATTCCTGAGGCTTTTAAAAACTCCCAGCCTGTTTCATTACTCAAAACCGCAATCATGGGTAAGACTGCCGACCTGACTGCTATCCAGAAGGCCATCATTGACACCCTCAAGCAAGAGGGTAAGACAGAAAGAAATTTCTGAACAAATAGGCTGTTCCCAGAGTGCTGTATCAAGGCACCTCAGTGGGAAGTCTGTGGGAAGGAAAAAGTGTGGCAAAAAACGCTGCACAACGAGAAGAGGTGACCGGACCCTGAGGAAGATTGTGGAGAAGGACCGATTCCAGACCTTGGGGGACCTGCGGAAGCAGTGGACTGAGTCTGGAGTAGAAACATCCAGAGCCACCGTGCACAGGCGTGTGCAGGAAATGGGCTACAGGTGCCGCATTCCCCAGGTCAAGCCACTTTTGAACCAGAAACAGCGGCAGAAGCGCCTGACCTGGGCTACAGAGAAGCAGCACTGGACTGTTGCTCAGTTTTGCATGTCATTCGGAAATCAAGGTGCCAGAGTCTGGAGGAAGACTGGGGAGAAGGAAATGCCTGAAGTCCAGTGTCAAGTACCCACAGTCAGTGTTGGTCTGGGGTGCCATGTCAGCTGCTGGTGTTGGTGCACTGTGTTTTATCAAGGGCAGGGTCAATGCAGCTAGCTATCAGGAGATTTTGGAGCACTTCATGCTTCCATCTGCTGAAAAGCTTTATGGAGATGAAGATTTCATTTTTCAGCACGACCTGGCACCTGCTCACAGTGCCAAAACCACTGGTAAATGGTTTACTGACCATGGTATTACTGTGCTCAATTGGCCTGCCAACTCTCCTGACCTGAACCCCATAGAGAATCTGTGGGATATTGTGAAGAGAAAGTTGAGAGACGCAAGACCCAACACTCTGGATGAGCTTAAGGCCGCTATCGAAGCATCCTGGGCCTCCATAACACCTCAGCAGTGCCACAGGCTGATTGCCTCCATGCCACGCCGCATTGAAGCAGTCATTTCTGCAAAAGGATTCCCGACCAAGTATTGACTATTGAGTGCATAACTAAACATTATTATTTGAAGGTTGACTCTCTTTTTTTTGTATTAAAAACACTTCTTTTATTGGTCGGATGAAATATGCTAATTTTTTGAGACAGGAATTTTGGGTTTTCATGAGCTGTATGCCAAAATCATCAGTATTAAAACAATAAAAGACCTGAAATATTTCAGTTGGTGTGCAATGAATCTAAAATATATGAAAGTTTAAATTTTATCATTACATTATGGAAAATAATTAACTTTATCACAATATGCAAATTTTTTTAGAAGGACCTGCATATATATATATATGTAGCCTATGTATATATATATATATATATATATATATATATATATATATATATATATATATATTGACTATGCTGAGACTTGCTTTGTGCCTTTGATCAGAGAAAAAATTATGCATAAACATGCTTTGGACAATAAAAAAAATATATATAAAAAAATATAAAAAAAACATTTGCAGGTTTGATGTCAGGGAATTACCTTTTTTCTTATAATTTTTATTTTTGGCCCATAAAAGGTTGTGTCCAGACAACCAACAAGTGAATTATCTGTTACTATAGAGTGACTTGCAAGCTGCTCTCAGTTTGTGTCCCTTCTGTATTGGACTTTTCATAAAGGTCGAAAATCAAACCAGCTTCCAAACCTATCAGCCCATCTTAGACAATTATAGCGCTCACAATTTGCTCTCATGTGGACAAAAACTATTTAGGCAGGTTTCCTCTGTACTTCACTCTTTGGGACACAGACGACGGACACTGCCAGAGCAGATGCTAACAAATCTATGAATTTGTATTGGTTTCTTGCCTTAAAATTTTAATTTGGAGATTACAGTTGTTTTTGCAACTGTTTTTTTGTTTTTCATGAAAACTGGCACAATTCAATTAAGATTTTTTCTTTCAGTCTTTGTGAGACAGACAGCTGTATCCATGACTGTTAATTATGTTTGAAAGAGAAAAAAAACTGCTATGCACTATAAACCTGCCTTCTGCCTATAAGAAAAAAAAGGAAGAAAGAAAACCTTGATGCCTCTAGACTAGATGCTGTAGAGATGCTTCTTCATAGAGTAGTATGCCAGACAAGAGTTCTGTGTGTCGAAATGTGTCTGTTCATGCACAGAGCAAGCGTCTTAACGGTTTTGTGTGTATGCGCTTCTGTCAGTTTGTATCCAATGAATTGTAAATATTTGTTTTTGTATCTTTAAAAACCTTTAAATTTTAAATCGTGTAAAACCACACTGATACATTAGGCTATGCAAGGATGGACAATATGATGGTGTGACATTTTCAAACATACAAATAGCAGGTTCGTTTGTTACTCTTGCATCTATACTGTATGTAAGTATATATATTTTGTTGTATGTAAACCCTTACATATATTGACAGGTGTTTTTAATGCCACTTTTGACTATTTAATTTAAACTATCAAATATACATAGGAAAGCCTTAACTTGTGTTAAAATTCAATTTTAGAGAATGTGTGTCATATGGTTTGAGTTTGATTTAGGAATAGTGTTTTTTGAGAATCAAGACAGAAAAACAAACAAACAAACTGATGGGGAGTTCTGGGATGAAGCAGGGTCCCACGATTTGCACCTATTTTCACTCTTTAGAAACCAAAGATGGAACAATGTGTTCCCATTTTACATGCAGATGACAACGCAGACACCAGAACTCTATTTTTGATACTTTGAAATGGATGTCATTCCTAAAGTTTGGGTAGCTTGGATGGTTTGTAAAGTAAAAGTACAGGTTCAGTTGATGTTTACGGAGCCTTGTATTGTTGTTTCATGTACATTTTGTATTTAACATTTTGTAATTTTTAAGACTGCAGTGCTTTTTGAAATTATTCAAAGGGAACACCGTGCGGCATAGGCTCTTCTGAGGTAGTGTATCAATAAAAAGAATAAATGCCCAAATGTCTCTTATTGTGTCAATCTGTCATTGTGACCCGAATTCTGCATGCATCAAAAATGAAATTTCTAAAATGAGTGAATAGCTGTACACAATGGTCTTTCATCAGGATTTACTTCACATTTTCACCACACTTTTAAAATCAAGCTTTTGTAACTTGATTGTGTCGAGGCTTCCGGTCTCATCCGCTTCCAGTTATTTTAGCTGTCCAAAAACTGTCCGTTTTGCAGCATGATATTGCAAACTGTTATTTGTTATATTTTAATTTATTATCGTAATCATAAACACGCTAGTTTGTAGCGCATATGGGTGTTTCTGCAACTACGGGCACTTTTGACTATCCCAATTTTTAACTTCTATGAATTTCAATTTTAACCATCACAGTCTGTAATACATATAAAAATGTACACAAAATAGAATGTAGTCGTTAAGATTTTAATCTGGAACATGTTTATTTTTTATGTTTTTCGGGTCATCTTCTCAAAAAGTGTCTTTACCGCAACTTTACAATAACGTTCATTTTATACACTTTTCTTTAGTAATTTCTATAAAAAAATAATATATTTAAATAGCTTTTTCAAATTTGATACAGTTTTGTAAATACTAATATAATAAAATAATATACAAAATAGGGAATTTCATGTTTTTTTCTATGCCATGTAAAAAATGTACAGTAACCTTAGATGTCAATTGTTTCCTTACACACAAAAGATGACATATTTAACTTTTTATGACAGATGTTGCCATTTCAATGTGTTAATCATCTCAGCTTAAGTGTAAAAATATTTTTTGCAAATGAAAATGTGGAGAAAAAAAAAGAAAATAGAGCAGTGCTGCGGTAATGACATCTTGTGTCGGTAAGGACACAATGTTAAACTGCCACGAAATCAAAAACAGGCTACTGTAAAAAACAAGAAACATGTTACAGAAAACAAAAGGTATTGCATGTGTAAAAGATAGTAGCAGTTTTGCAGTAAATAACTATTTTAATTAACTCTTGCTCTTTTAACTGCTTCAAAAATATTGTCTCCTAAAGTTGATGATTCATGTTTATATATATACTAATATATGCTTCAGTACTAATAATATACTGAATATTAGTAATTTAATGTAAACCTTAAATTTGTCTCTACCGCAACACAAAGTCTTTACTGCAACACCTAAATTTGCTGCGGTAAAGACATGTTGCGGAAATGACATTTTTGCTAATATTTTAGCTAATTGGCAGCTAGCAAGGCCTACCACATTAGTTTTGACTCTTAGCATCCTAATATACATGAATTCAACAGTAATATACATTTATTTTTAAAATGTAGTTCAAAATACACAATTATTAAGCTGAATGGTAAGGACGCACAATAAATACTAGAGCAGAAAAGATGATGTTTACCTTATTTTTTTGGTATCTTGTGAGTGAGGTAGTGTGGTGGCCCAGTCTGTCAGCAATGTGCTCAAGTGATATATAACGGATATATAATGCATATTTTAAAAACCTTTTTGTATAAAATGTATATTTATTGCAATAGTTATGTTAACAGCAATAAGAATAAGATATTTCTGGTAATAACAGCTAATCAGCTGATGGACACCGTGACTGCGTTGTCATGGGAACATCGCAGGTGAAAATAATGAGGAAATGACGTTGTCTGTTGCTCCCTTCACCAAGTGTGTTCCAAACGGCTACATGATGGCACACACATGCCCTACTCACTCCAAAGCCCTCAAGGGCTCTGATGCTCACAGCA